AAAAAAATATATACTCACGCCCTTCCATGCTGATCGCGTCGAAGACGTCGTCTCTGAACCCTTGTCACGAACTGCAAAGCGAGGAAAAAAATAAGTAAAAAGTCAGTCCCGGAATCATAAATGGATTTTGAAGTCGCGCTCGTGAATCATTATGCAAATTCCTCGAAACGAAAGAAATGCGAGCGACATTACGGTGAAAATGCCGAAACAACCGGAAGCCACGCGATGAAACTGAACAGCAGCAGCAGGCATATATATTTGATGGGAAAACCTTCATCCGATTTTCCCCAGCACGAAGAAAATGCGGCATGAAAAATCCCTCAGAAATGTGGCATGGAAACAGATGAAAATCACTTTACATTAGCTTATTATGAAAAATAACGTCATGACGATGGGCGAGGAACTATGGAGTCATAGCGTGCGGAAGAACAATCCCGAGAACTTTGCCCAGAAACACCGATTATATTGCGGGGTTTTTCGGCATCTTGATCATAAAAATTGAAAAATAACGTCATGACGATGGGCGAGGAACTATGGAGTCATAGCGTGCGGAAGAACAATCCCGAGAACTTTGCCCAGAAACACCGATTATATTGCGGGGTTTTTCGGCATCTTGATCATAAAAATAAAGTGGCCAGCTGAAATCCATAAGCAAAATAAAAAAATATCGTAAATAAAAAAATATTTTCCCAAGATTAGTACTACAGGTATTAGTTCAAACTGTTACTAAGTATGAGCAACCCCGGATTGAATCAAGGCTTCCTCAGCGGCTATCCTTTTTTTCCCCGACCCTAATGCAGCTATATTTTAAATTTAAAATGCCATCAATTTCGCGCTAATCGATTTCATTTGAAAACATTACAACAAAAATAAACACAATATTAACAAATAAAAATTTAAAAGTCAACTCTCGAGTGAATCTTCAGCGAAATTGCCGCAAAAGTCAAGAAAAATTTTCCGTTGCCTCTTATGGAAAAATAGCCAAGTTACAACTAACCATGGCAGACAAAAACTATCTCTTCATTTATCCACAAGCAGGTGTAGCACAGAAATTCCGGAAATCAAACGTCTTTCGATAATTCTGTCAATTTTAAAGTTAGTAGGTGTCACTCTATCAAATTTATTATTTTTTCGCCCTTCGTCAGGCTTCCTTCGCCGATTACGGAAAAATAGCCAACTCACGACTATAACCATGCCACACCAAAATCATCTCTTCATTTATCCACAAACGCAGGTTAAATTACTGGAGTACTGCAGAAATTCCTGAAATTGAATGTCACTTGATCATTTTGCAAATTTAAAAGTTACCATCGCTCCATTTTTATTACTTCTTCGCCCTTCATCGGGTTTTCGCTCGAAAAAGCTTACTATTTACTCGAACGTCTTGCTGCGAAACGAAATCTCAACTCCTCCGACGGTAATAAGCCTCATGCTGTGTCCAACAAGAATTTCTGAGACCCAAAAAAAAAACATTAAATTACCCAAGAAGAATTTTCGCGCACCAGCAGCAGTGAAAAAGACGCATCGACCGGAGCGAAATCTTAAAACAGGATCGATTCAACTCTCTCATTTTAATCGTTTTCCGCCGCAGGGAATCCATAGAATGTTAAAAAACATAATAATAAAGGATTTCACATGAAAATAAGCGTCGTGGCACGAACATCATTCCTCGCCCAAGCATGAGCACACGACCCCCGCCTTATTTTCAATTAGATTTCCCGGCCCCAGTAGTTCGCATGGCGGTTCCCTGGTTGCATTGGGTTCTCGAAGTGTAACCACTGCTGTCCCAATGCTAGTGCCACGGGATCGAATGTAAGGGAACATGGTGGAGACAAGAAGAGAAAGAATAAATAAATAAATATAAAGGCCGCACAGCAGACGCGAAATTTCAGAGGGATATAAAAAGAGCTGCGGAGCTTTGGAACGAGCTGCTTTTGCAGCAGCAGGGGTTGCAGCAGCCTGAAGAATTGGAAGAACCCATCACGAGACTGAGAAAAGCAGAGCTTAAAAAAATTCTAGCCAGGGTTTCTTCAGAAAACATTAGAAATTTTTTTTTTTTTCAAAATACAATTGAACCTTGATACCTCGAAAATTTTCAAATCCATTTCTGGATTCCCTTGGAAGCACTGCATTAAAAATCCTCCCTCACTCGAAGGAGGTCCCCCTCAAATCTCTACAACTCGTTAAAAGACCTCCGGAAAACCGATAATAAAATAGTTGGGTCCTTTTTCGTTTTTAAAATGAACCGCACAAAACTTTCCTTCACTTTCCTATAAACAAAGAAAATAAGCTTTGGAGTGGTTGAGTTTTATTTTTGCTGGTCCCTTGAAATTCGACTTACAGAGGTTTTTCTTTACCGTAATTCTCTCTGACAATCAACAGATTGTAAATCATTCTGACGATCGGAAAAATATTCAGTACGAATTAATGGTCGAATGTATGACTTTAAACCCGATGCAAAGCCGTCAGAAAATAGCTACCCACATCAAAAAGGACTTCCGAAAAATTTTCAAATGCCAAGAAATTAATTTGAGTCACGGAATCGACGATGAGCAATCTTCCGAAATACCGTTCTTAAAATTAGAAGAGATTTCGAGATTTTGCTTTAATACGGTAAATATCCGTCTGCGGGACTTTCTTGGCTACCATCTGTTCCAGATCCAATCAGCCAAACTAGCGAAGACGGAAGTGAAACTTTTCAAAATGTACGA